CACCACCACCACCACCACCACCACCACCACCACCACCACCACCACCACCACCACCACCACCACCACCACCACCACTTCGCCTTTTCGCTCCCAAATTATCATTTCATTCGTTTCATCCACTGCTACCAGCGAATAACCTGAGTCCAACTCACACACCCTGTCAATGTTTCTCGTTTTTCACTGTCCAACGTTGCATCTGTTTATCATAATCACGCAATACCCCACACGCATAGACTCGTCAATCGCATCACACACGACCACCACCACCACCGGCATCGTCATCATCATCCACGCATCGTTCGTGGACAATTTTTTTCGCCGCACGAAAAGCGATCCTGCGTGGTGGTAGGGAGGGCGAAGTGAACACGCACTTTTTCCACAAACATGGCCAAATTTCGCACTGCTGGTGCAGTTGACAGCGAACTGCCGTCTTAGTGTCCAACACCACTGGTTGAGCGTTGACTGGGAGATCTGCTGGCTGTGTAGAGGACCACAGCGGTCTTCCGAAATCAGCAAGCAGCAAAACGGTGGGGGTTTAATTCTGTTCTCTGCTGACCTCCTTCGAGGATAGTGTTCACATCTGGCCAGAGCGTGCAAACTGTATTTCTCTGTGTGTGTGTGTGTGTGTGCATGTGAACGCTGCGAGGCAGTGAAATATATCAAGAGGTGTGGTGGTGGTGGCGTGGGTGGGGCACACGTGGGTGCAGCCGGAAGCGAGGTCCTGGGAAGAGGGCCCAAGTGTGGTTTACTCGTCATCGTCTCCGTTGTCTTCGTTCCACCCTCCGCCCCCCCATCCGGCCCATCTTCCCCCGGCCGTGCAGCTAAATAAATAGTTCCACTTTTTAACTCTTAACCAAACAACCAGACTAGCCGAGTTTCCGACCATATCATTTCCCATCTACCGGCAGCGGTGTGTGTTTATCAGGTCTACTGACAACCGCCCAATATTTTTCCAGCAGGTGAATTAAGTCACTTGGCCGTCGGAGTTGAAAACTAGTGCGATTGCCACGTTACGTGAATTTTGATTGGTTCTGGCCAGAAGCAACGTATAGCCAATAGGAATTTGATTTGCAATGATCACTCAATACGAAACTCCCTTTTTGCGATTTTAATAAAACAAGGGTCAAACTTAACTTGCTTTCTCATTGGAGCTGAAGACTAGTGTGAATGCTAAACTACGTAAGCCTAAAAAGCTGAAATTTGATTGGTTTCCGCTACGGCATCAAGCAGCCAATAGAAATAAGGGCCTGTTATGATCGCTAATTAACAAAATGTTTTTTGCGACTTTAAGGACAACAGGGTTAAACCCTAATTACTTTTTAATTGGATTTGAGAACTTGCGCAAATGCAACGCACGGTGGAAATAAAACGGCTAAACTACGTGAGTACTGAATCTTAAAAATGATTGGTTATCTCCTGAGCATCGTGCAGCCAATAGGAAGGGAGTCTATGGCAACCACTCACTAAAAACTTGTTTTCGACATCTTAAGGCATGAACAAGTCACTTTCCTATTGATTCTGAAAACTGGTGAAAGCTGAGAGGCGAAACAACGTAACCAATTGACGTGAGCCCTAAATGCTGCAATTTGGTTGGTTTTCACCGCGGCATCAAGCAGCCAATAGCGATGCGGTCTGTCATGACCACAAATAATCCATTTAATCTGAGTCTAAAAAGCTGATAGCTGATTGGTTCTCGCTACGATATCAAGTAGCCAATAGAAACTGAGCCTGCAGTGATCTCTCACGACAAACTTGTTTTACGAACCAAGAACGCAAATTTTATTGGTTTTTGCAAGTCATCGAGTAGCCAATAAAAACAGAACTCACAAATGTCAAATGACGCGCGTTTTTCTCACAAAACAGGCTCACCAATTCTACCCGCTGATCCACATCAACTGTTCGACAGACCTGCACTTTCTCATTTGCTCTATCTACACGCCGATTTGCATGGAGGGTTTCTCGCAGTCGCTGCCACCGTGTCGATCGGTGTGCGAGCGCGCGCGGGCAGGTTGTGGTCCAATCATGGGCTACTACGCCTTCACTTGGCCAGATCGCATGCAATGCGATCAATTCCCGGAGCTCAACAACCCCGAAGGCGTGCTGTGCATGGAGCGGAACCTCACCGACGCTGAACGCATCGAGTTCGGGACCACGTCGAAGGCGGCGTCGGGTGTAGGCGAAAAACCCGGCAGTGGTGGCGTCGCGTTGGAGGATCGGGCCACTCTGCGCGATCGATCGATGGCGAGTGAGTTGGAGGCGGCGGTGGTGACTGCGACGAGAGCAGATGGTGGCGGCGATGTCAGTTCGCGAGCTCTCGCCACCTCCGGTGCGCGGCTGGAGTGTTCGTGTGGCTGCCGGCACCCGTTTGTTTCGGTCGTCGCCAACAACGACAGCCAACTTACTCAGGCAAGCGTATTATATTCTACTGAAAGACAATTCAGTAGAAAGTTTATGAAGCGATATTTGCGGTCCAACGAGAAAGGTTCAGGGATTTGAATTCTTTTTTTTTCAAGATTTCTACACTTGGATTTCAAGGCTGCGCTTTGCCCTGTCATTCCATCCACTTTCAAACCGAGGGTGACAGAAGGTTCGTGGATTTTTGGCTGTGGCTTTGGTCCATCCTGTGTGCGGTCTCGACCCTCGCAACGATGCTCACCTACCTGACCAATCCCAGTCGATTCCAGTATCCCGGCCAGCCAATCATCTACCTCTCCACGTGCTACTTCTTCGTCGCGATTGGCTACATTCTGCGTATGGTGGTTGGTCATGAGAGCGTCGCGTGCACGGAGGTCACAGCCTTAGTTCGTGGTGGTGACACCCATCAACGAGGCCTATTTACCACCGCGAGTATCCTACAATTCTCACTTTCTGGACAGGCTTCGTGCGCCACCGTCTTCCTTCTCACCTACTACTTTGGAATGGCATCATCCGTGTGGTGGGTCGTGTTAACTGTCACGTGGTTTCTTGCTGCCGGTCTGAAGTGGGGCAACGAGGCGATCACCAAGTACACACAGGTAATCTACGGCTTTATTTCGCTTTAAATATACTGCCTACTTTTAACTTTGTTAGTTGGAATCTTATCTTCAAAAGTGTCTGCTTTTCTTACATCAGGTCTTCCATTTCGTGGCCTGGGTCCTGCCTGGCGTGCAGACTGGTGTCGTACTGATGCTGCGTGCTGTGGACGGTGATCCCATTGGTGGACTGTGTTCCGTAGGTTCGACGAACGACAGCAACCTCACGTACTTCCTTCTGCTTCCACTGTGCATCTACTTCTGCGTCGGCACCTTCTTCCTCCTCAGTGGCTTCATCGCGCTCTGTCGCATCCGCCACGTCATCAAATTTCAGCCGCGCGCACGCACCGACAAGCTGGAGAAGTTGATGATCAAACTCGGCATCTTCGGCCTCCTCTACACTGTGCCGGCGATCGTTGTGATCGCGTGTCTGGCACACGAGCTACGCTGGCGTCGAGTCTGGCAGTTGGGCGTGGCGTGTCGATGCGACTGGCACAACGACAACGACGAAGAAGTTGGTGGCAGACGCCATCCACTCGTGTGGATCCCTCCTACACCCGAATACGCCATCTTCATGCTGAAATACTTCATGTCGCTTATCGTGGGCATCACCTCTGGCTTCTGGATATGGTCGAGCAAGACGCTAGACGCTTGGAGACGTGTCTGCAACGGACGCAAACCCCCGGTCCCCCATCAACCACCCACCGCTCCAGCGGGTTCAGAGAAACTCATCAACTGGGTCGTGCCAAACGTCCATTCACCGTCGCAGTTCTCCCTGAAGAGCCTTCCAGGCGGGAAAAAGTTGGTGCCGCCGCCGCAGAGCAGGAGTGCTCACACAAACTTCTACGATCAGTTCGACGCGGACCCACGACAGACCCAGTTCTGCCCGGTGGTGCGAGGTACCAGTTCAGGAATTGGTGGAAGCACCGCCACGAGCAGTGCTTACGCCAACACCACCAGTGGAGGCGGTGATTTCGCCGACCACAACTCCGACACCGCCAATGTGAACCGAGGATTCATCTTCAACAGTGGAGAGTTCAATGGCGTGGCACCGCTGGGTGGCAGCACCGCGCCAACGGGAATATTTTAAAGGTGGCGGGGAAAATGGTGTGACTAAATTGGCGGAAATTAATGGGCGCATTTGACTGGCCACTGTGCAAGGCATTTGTCTTGACTTCTTACTTGACATTCTTACTTGCTTTTCCTTTCAACGCGGAGACGTGGCATTACTCTTGTACATACATTTCATTAAATCGCTTTAATTTGTGCCTTCCGTCAAGGTGTACCGGCTACTGATGGGTCGAATTAAGTAGTAGTCTATTGTGAACACCCAACAGGTTTCAACACCAGCCAATTGCTGATAAGGGAACAAGTCGGTGTATCTGAGCAGCACCAGTATAGGCTGGGTGCTTCTGATTGGTCTACACTCCACCAATCATGATCGCCTAATAGAAGCCAGGCTATTGGTTATGCCCAGTTTTGGTATTCGCCTGTCTGATGAAGTGTGTAATTTCTCGCAACAAAGTGCACGCGGCGTCTGCAACATCGGTTAATTGAAATGTCGGAGGTGTGTGGTTGACATCACCCCACGGGCACAACTGACGGATTTTTTAGTAGGTAGTTGCTTGGTGTGTCAGTGCTAAATGTCTCACTCGTGCAACAGAGTGACCTTGAAATTCTTTATCTCTCTTCTCCTATTGGGTTACTCCCGTGATGATGAGACACAGGTAGTCGACACCCGTTACTTGCCATAAATTAATAAGAACACACATGATGTCAACACCGCACTGCCAAACAATTGTTTCTGATTTCATTATGTGTGCTGGATGATGACGATGATCAAATTTATAGACTGACATACAGATGGCAATTTTGTGGAAGTGGTTGAGGATGGGGAAACCCAAACGGAATATCCTGTTAACCGTCTGTGGACGTAGAACGAGATGGTTTTAAAGAGGAAATCGGTAGGATAATGTGGACACAACCTCTCGCGCGTTGTAAATGCCTGCCTGTTCGATGCAGAAGAGATGAACACTGCCATCAACCACACACAGGCAAATTCATTCATGCATTGTGAGTAAGCATCGCGCGAAAACTGGTTATTATTCGAGCACCACAGAAGCGCTGATCGTAACATCTACCTGAAATTATTTCTGACAGGGAGCAGATAGATCCTTACCAATTACACAACTAGGATTACTAAAGCCAGTTGTTTCAAGGGCCTGCATAACAGCACTTGACGTCTTATCGCGGCATCTCAAATCGATTCGTCATTGGCTGTCGTTTTACTGATTTGGCCAATT